CACTTCGACCAAGACAGCGAGATGAGGTCGCGCTGGCGAGAGGCTGGCGGCAAGTGCCTCTCAACCGTGCGGGTAGCATTCGGTATCTTACCGGCCTAGCGCATCGCGCTAGTGGGGAAATTCGGCTCCAGGGCCCCTGCTGCCGGAGAGTGCTAGGTGTTTGGAAGTCGAGGGCAACTCTGGAGAAGTGCTCATCTTGGGGCTCTGGGGTGCCGTAGGAGCTAGCAAGGCCGCTCGAAAGCTAGGAGCTGCGAGACAAGAATCCTGCAGCGCGACGTTCTGGTGCGAAAGGAACCCGAGGAGTAGGCAGCAGCAGGAGGAGCAAGCAGGAGGGAAGGACAGCAGGGGGCTGATGATCATCGAGGAGGACAGCTTCGCGGCCGCGGCCCTACATGGCCAGCTGGGCATTCCCCCCCCCCCCAGGGCCGCGATCCCTCGACAGGCTCGGGGCGCTACCGCGCGGGCCTTAGACGGCCAGGGCCTCAGGGCGGCCCGGGACCTCAGGAAGCGCGAGCTCAAGAAGCTCGAGGGGCATCGCGGCGGGGCGCTGGCCTTAGATTTTCTCACTTCCCAGGGTCACGGCTGAGCTTAGGCGCCGCGGGTACAGGGCCTCGGAGGCCCTGGGCATCCTCACCGGGGTGGGCCTGGGGACCGCCAGGGGGAGGCCAAGCTTCGGGCAGTGCTGGAGACGGAGGCTCCGATGTTCGCGACCATGCCCCCGCCGCGCAATGCTTTCTCACAGGCTAGAGTACCCAACAGGGGGCGGATGGATCCGGAGCGGCAGCAGGATGAGGGGGGGCGAGGGCTCAGATACAGTCACTTGTGCATGCGTGTCGCCGAATATCAGATGCCTCGAAGCAGGTTCTTTGCGATGGAACATCCTCGTACTGCGAGCTCCTGGGAGCTCGAGGCCGTGCGCTCTGTGCTCGGGATGTCCGGGGTAGATCGTTCGATCAGTGTGAGTGTGGCCTGGCAGTCTCTTCGGGCTCGCCCCTGCCCTCTCGAAAGAGAACTGCGATCATGCGTGACAGTCCCGATTTCCTTCAGTGTTGCGATCGTCAGTGCTCGGGTAAGCATGGGCATGTCTCTCTGGTCGGCTCCGCCAGGACGAGCCGGTCGGAGATCTATCCTGAGGCGCTGGCGACCGCGATGGCGATTGGCATTGAGCTGGCTGCGTGGCGCCGCCATGCATCAGGCTCCGTCTTCAGCGGCTCTGGGGAGGTTGAATCGGCCGAGACCTCGGACGGCGAACTCGTCAGTTTTCCTGTGGGCGAGGCGGTTGGCCCAGCGGAAGCCGCGGAGGAAGACGATAGCGGTGATGAGCAGGAGACTCGGCCTCCCCCTTTAAAGGTCCGAAGGGCCCGGAGCCCGCGCTAGATCTTGACCTTGGGCGCGAGGTAGAGCGCCCGCATGTTAATTTGGGACGCCCCGGAGGGGGGGTATCTTGAGAGCTCTGAGGATTGCGGGGGCTCGGATTGACGTGCTGAGGCGGGTCAAGGACGGTCTCAGGTGTGACCAGTGCGAGTCTCATGCGCGTCCGGGTTGGAGGCGTAGGGCAGGCTTGCCGCACGCCTATGCCTTTAACGAGATGGTTGCGAATGATCTCTTCTACCTCGATGTGGCATGGGTCAATGCCCCCGCGATGAACGCGATAGATCACGGCACCTCGTTCCAACAGTGCGTTCTTTTGAGCGACGACGCCTCGAAGTCCGTTTGGGGGGCCTTCCACCGGTGGTGGGTTAGGCCGTTTGGGGCCCCGGAAATGTTGATGCGCGATGGCGGTGCCGAGTTCGAGGCGGCCTTCGCCCGAGGCGCGGAGCACCTAGGCATCTTTGCCCATGTGGTGCCAGCATATTCGTCACATCGCAATGGCAAGTGCGAGCGGCACGGGGGCATAGTTAAGGAAGCTTTATCGAAGGCGGCCCAGGGGTGTAGCCCAACGCCCCGGGAAGGAGCGGACCTGTTGCTGTGTGAGGTGGCTGCCGCGAAAAACATGAGCTTTCTCCGCGGCGGCTTTTCGCCTTCGCAACTGGTGTTCGGGGAGAATCATCACCTTCCAAGAAGTCTCCTGTCTGATGACGGACTAGATCTTGTCGGCTCCGAGGATATTCAGCCCAGCGCCGCCGACTGTGATTCTGCAGCAGCCGCTTTTTCTGGGCAGCATCGCATCAGTGAAGCTGTCCGGAGATCGCTGGCCGCTCTAGATGCTCGCTCGAGACTTGCGGAGGCGTCGATGGCCAGGAAGCACGTGGGCCGCCCCTTTTTCCCCGGTCAGTGCGTGTGTGTATTTCGTCGCATCACGTCGTCCAATCGATCCCATTCGCTGCAAAGAGACCGATGGACAGGACCTGGAGTGGTGGTGTTTCAGTCCGGGGGTCCTGGAGGAACCGTTTGGGTGGCGATGCGGGCCAGGTTGCTCAAGTGTTCAGCCGAGCAGGTAAGGCCGGCTACGCGCGGCGAGACTTTGGGGGCCGAGCTTCTTGAGAGCTCCAGTTTAGACCGGCTGCGCGAGCAAATCAAGGGCCCTGCCCGACGATCTGGCGCCGTGGGCGTGGCAGCCGAAGGTCTTCCCCCCCCTGAAGCACGGGGCCTGCCCGAGGCCGGCGCCGTGGCGCCACCCTCCCCAGAGTCCCGCGTGCTGTCCGAAGCCAGGATCGAGGTTGCGGCGCGCGCCGCTGATCCCGCTCCTAGCGTCGGCAGTGCGGCCGCCACTGGCCCCCCCTCGGGACCGGCGATGTCCCGCGCGCTGTCTGCGGGATCGCCCGCCTCGGCCGGGCCCGCAGTAGAAACTGGAGGGCCGGCCCCGAGAGGGCCAGGCATGGCTCCCCGCCGACCGGAAGCGGATTTGGTCGGACCCCAAGTTCGCGGCGACCCCCTTCTCCAGCGTCCGCGGCTCGCCCCTATCGAGGAGGCCCCCTCTGTCCCGGGGGCCGTTCTCCGAGCGGTGCGCGAACGAGAGGCGGCTTCGGGGGAACTTCCGGAGGCTCTCCGGCGGGCCCTCGACGCGCCGCCTCCGGCCCCTCAGCCTCAGGATCTGGGAAGGTTCGTCAGCCCCAACGCTGGGGGCCTTGTCGTGGGTCGAGGCGGGCCCGAGAGGAATGATCAGATATTGTTTAGACCCATAGGCTCCGGGCGGGGCGCGTCAGTTCCCCGAGCCAGGCGCGCCTCGAGCTCCGCGCCTCCGCGAAGTGCCGAGGCCGGGTCAGCTTCTGGGCAGACCGAGTTGCGAGCTCGAAGTCAATCCCCCGGTCGAATCGAGGCCCCGGGGACCGAGGACCCATCGTTCCAGGCTGTGCAGAAGATTTTCGAAGGCCCAGGCCTCTGGGGCGAGGCCGGCGATGAGCAGGACCGCAGACTGATCGACGAGCTTCGTGAGCGGGGCTCGATGGCCGAGGACGGCGCGACCTTTGCTGCGATCTTTCCACGCCCCCCAACCCCCGTGGCGCTGAGGTCCGCTGGGGAGATTTAACGGCGGAGGAGCGTCGCGATTTTGAGCAGGCCGCGATTTTGAGCAGGCCGATCTCAAGGAGTGGCAAGCAATGCTGTCCACAGGGGCTGTTAAGGTGCTCTCTCGGGAGGAGTCTCGGGCCGTTCGAAGGAGGCATCCGGATCGAATCCTGAGCGCCAGGGTGGTCCGGAGGAAGAAGCCGGTGGAGGGGGTCGGGGAGAAACCCACCCCGAATTCCAGATGGTGCGCGCACGGCCACCAGGACCCGGACGGGGAGTCTCTGCTCCGACCCCTCAGACGGATAGCGTACTCGTGACGGTGCAGATCATAGTTCCCCACGGATGGGCGCTCAATATTGCTGACGCCAAGAACGCTTTTTGCCAGAGTGAAAGGTTAACACGACCTAATGGGGCGATATACGTGGAACCGCGTCAAGGCCTGCCGCTCACGTCTGAACAATTGATTTAATTTGTTGCACCCGTTTATGGCCTCAACGACGCCCCGCTTCTTTGGCGCAGGACCTATGCCGAGTATTTAGCGACAGTCGGTTTCCAAAAATCGATGCTGGAACCTCGTTTGTGGTTGAAACGCGATCGCTGGGGGGCCCTTGAGGGCCTGATCCTCCGGCACCGTCTCGGGGCTCGCTTTGGGTTCTCTGGGGGGCTCCCAAGGAGAGGGGCCCCAAGGGGCCCTCGACGAAGGAGGTGAGCGTTGAACAGAACGGGGTCTCTGAGCCAGCCGAGCCTTTCTTGGCTGGTGGGATCGTGTCCGACACTTCGACGGACCTTCAAGAGGCAGACGCCCTCCTGCGCGACTACGACTACTATGTAACATTATTCGGCCGCCCTGGGACAAATGGAAAAGGCCATATGATTACTTATGAGCACGCCCGAAGGAGGTGAAGGTTCATGCTGCTCCTTGGGCAGGGGGGTTGCGGAGGCAAGAGCAGGACCTGCGCGAGGAGGGGGCGGCGGAGGAGGTTAGGGGGGGGCGAGGCGGAGGAGGCATAGGGGGAGGGGGGGAAGGAAGGGGGGAGGGAAGTCTGTCGCTGCAAGGTGCCTTCGGAACCTATGCGGCGAGCGCGACGGAAGGCGCCCAAGATTGTCGAAGATCGCCGGACCGTGCGCGATGGCGGGCCAGACTCCGCCTTCTACGCTGCGCAGGGCGACGACGTCTTGAAGGGGCTCATGGCGATCACTGCTCTCCCGAAGGCCACGGGTTCATTCGAACGGCCATCGTGCAGTGGCGCCTCTTCCAGCGCCGGCATTGGGCTTGGCTTCCAGACGCCTGCGAAGGGTTCGGATCCCAGCGGAGATGGCCATGGCGATGCAGAGGGCGACGGCGATGATACAGGCGCGGGCCTTTCCCTCGGATTCAGTCGCAGCCCTGCGCCGTCTGCGACACCCGCCAGCAGTTCATCGTCGAGGCCGACTCCTACTGCGAGCACCAGGCGCTCACCGACTACGCGTCGTCGTGGCGCCAGCGGCCAGCGGTCGATTCAAGACAAAACCATCATTGACAAGGACAGGCCCGCCAAAACAGGGCCTCGCAGGCGCGATGTCATCGCCGTAGCCGACGCCATAATCAATGAGTTCATGTCTTCGGTGGCCGATTCCGCGTCCTACTTCGGCGCCAGTTGGAAGAACCACACTCGTTTTTGCAAACGTGTTCAGGAAGGCATCGAGGAGAGACTTGCTTCATTGCGAGATCAGGAGTTGGAAAGCGATGCGAAGGAGGAGGTTACCAAACTGCAGCAGGCCAAGAAAATGATTTCTTCAATTCGATGCATTTGCGGACACGTCAACAGCAACGGCCTGAACAATGCGAAATTCGCAGAAGTGTACGACTCGCAGATGTCCTTCTTGCGTCTCGAGCCAGAGTGCAAGGATATCATGCCATTGCATCTCAAGCAGGCGCGGTTTCGCCTTCGCGTGACTAGCATGTCTGACCCAGCGCAGTTCTGGCCATTGGCATCGGAAGCGACCTTGCGCTCGGAAGGGCGCGCCGAAAGGGACGTCGAGGAGACGCAGCGCGCGCTCATCGAGGAGCGGATATTGAGCTTGACCTCGGAGGATTGCGTTGATTCCGTGACCGAGGGTCTTCGTGCTATCTTCCCGGCGGACGCCAGGTACTTCAAGGATAAGTTCGGCGACATCAACGACGTTTTGATTAGCCTGTGCACTGTGGCCAACGCCTTTTCCATCCGTTGTTACGGCACGCCGCAGAAAATATCCATCAGTTTACTGCGGGCACCAGGTCGCCAGGAACCCGCTGCTGCCCAGTCCGCTGTTGGTGAGCATCGTGCTAGCATAACAGTGCCGTTCGTGTGCGAGAAGGGAGTTGCCGACCTAGAGTACGCCATCAATGCCATCTCCTTGCCAACGAGCTTTTGCCACTCAGTACGCTACCATTCCAACGGCAGAGTTGCGGTCGATCAGGCTGGCCTGGTTTTGCGGAAGATGACGAAGTCTTTGCCGATCGCAACGCAAGTGTTGAGCATTCTCGAGGGCGTGATGACATGCTTGGAGGGCATGCGGTCTCTCCTCTGCAGGCGTTTCCAGAGGGGGGCAAGGTTTGCCTCAAGGACGACATCGTGCCTTTCGCAAAGATGCTTTCCGAGTGCCTGGCGCAGGTGGCAAACGGGCTTTCGGAACTTTCGGAGCGGGGGCCACTGCGGGACTTTCGGGGCGGGGGTCGGGCGAGGGGGCAGACGGGGGGGTATGTAGAGGGGGGCTTATTGTTCTCAGCTTCAGGGGTCTGGCGTTTTGAGCTCGGCCCGTCTGCAGGGCCAGATCCGCAGGCGCCCTTGGGGCCGGCAGAAACCTTCCAGGGCAAGTTGTTTGCTGAGGGCTCGCGGCTCGGCGCACAGCAAGCCACCGGCCCACCTGCGCCCCCCCCGCCCGCCCGCCCCCCGCCCTGGACAGAAGTGATCCACGCAGGTTGGGACCTGCAGCCGCGCTGCTGAGATCTTCGATGCCACTGTTCTGCGCCGCGCCAAGGAGTTCTTCGCCCAGCTTCTGATCGCATCGGAACTTGCGTTCGTGCCGATGTCGCGAAGGACCACGAAGAACAACCCGGCGCCGCCCGCGACCCCAGATGAGGTGATGTCTTTTGCGGCTCGGCCCAGCCTTGCCACTTTCTGGAGGGCTCTTGCGGAGTGCGAGCTTTGCCGTTCCTTTCTCAGCCGGGACCATGACTTCGATTTGTTCGATGTTTGGGACAAGTGCGTCAGTTTCACAGTGAACATCTTGCAGGCTTACGATGCAGAGGCGGCCGAGAGCGTACCAGCAGATGAAGCAGTTGCTTTGCAGGGGAAAATCCAGTCGATACGCGATTTCGGCGATGACATTAAGATGGCGTTGCGCGGCTTCAGCGATGAGATCGACAACTTCTTCGAGACGTCGAGCCTTTTCCAGGGCGCCAAGGTCGCGGGCATCGTGAACCATGCCATCGCCCAGAAGGCATGCCGACTGGATTGGCGGTGTTGTCCTTGAGGCAAGCTTTCATTTACGTGAGGTCGCTGGCGGGGGCCGCTGAGCGATCTGCCCTCGATGTCTGATCGGGCTAGGCCAGCAGCGCTTGTCGGCGAGCCCGCGTTTCTGAACGCTTGCCTGGGTGGGGGCGCTGATGCACATGTCGGCTTTGCAGGCAGCCAAGAAGTTCGCGCCGCTGACGACTGCCATCGGAGATGGCCTCGTCGGCATCAGGGTGCAATGCGACATGCCCGACGCCGGCATGGATAAGATCATGGCTTTCGAAGTTCCCGATGACGAGATCAATGACATGATTGACTTCTGCGACCAGGTGAAGGATCCCGTGCTGAAGCCGGAGCTTGCTTACATATATGGCTGGGTTGCGCTGCGCAAGAAGGCTCTGGTCGGCATTCGCTTTCTGCATGCCAACAAGCAGGGCGCCACGTGCATCGATATATTCTCTGCGCTCGCAGGGGGGGGCTCAAGCGGTCCGCAACTTCATCGACGACGGCAAAACGGAGGGTTTGTTCATCGGCGAGGGCAGGCCGGCGGCTGTCTTCGCAGGTCTCTTCCCAGATATGCCTGGCGCGGCAGAGGCGTACTTGCAGGACTGCGTCGAGGCGCTGACCAAAGCGGGGGATTTGTTTACTTCTGTCCTGGTGTCCGAGACCCAGTGCATGCGGTCTTGGTTCGGCGCGGTGCTGATGGAGGGCGGGGATCCCCCTGCGGACGGACAACCTCCGAAGGCTCCGCGGCAGATCCACCGCGGCTCGCTGCTCGCCAACAACGCCTTGATCTTGTCCATGGTTCAGAACCCCGACTACCCGAAAATTGGCGCCAAGCGCAGCCAGCTTCAGCAGGCGACGTCCATCGTGAAGAGGCTCAACAGTTCCACGGGGAAGCTCGCGCTTGTCCAACCTGAGACAGTGGCCAACGCGACCAACGCCGTCACGCTTGGCGCCCATGCGGTCGCGATCACGAGCGCGCTGTTCTCTTGCAAAGTTTTCCCAAGATGGCCGCGGCCAAGCAGGAGACAGCTGCGGAGAAGGTACAAGCACTCATCCTAGAGAAGGGCGTCGACCCAGGCAGCGACGTGACCGACGCGCTGAAGGGCTTCATCGGCGAGGCCGCCTCGGAGAAGCCCAAGAAGCGCGCGGCGGGCGCAGCCAGCGGCTCCGCAGCAGCGGAGGGGCCAGCGCCGGCGCCGGCGGCTCCAGCAGCAGCTGCGGATCTGGCCCCAGCAGCGGAGGGGCCAGCCTCAGCAGCCCCAGCAGCGGCGGAGCCAGCCCCGGCAGCATCCCCGCCGCGCAAGAGGCGAAGGCCCAGGCCAAGACCGCAGCCCAGGCGTCGGACGACGGGGCAGCAGCCTCTGAGTCCAGCGGCGACGGCGACAAGGGCAGCAACAGCAGCAGCAGCAACAGCAGCAGCGACAGCGATTGATTCCGACCCACCCGCGGCGAGGTGGACGTGGGAGGGCGAGGAGGGAGGATGACAATGAAGAGGATGAGGAGGACTTTGATGAGCAAGCAGGCCAGCTCCGTGCGAGAGGCAGGCAAGCTCTGTGGGGAATTAGGCCATCTCCGTGCGATATGCCGGCTGGATCTGTGGGCACGCAGGCCTGCTTTCTGCGCGACGCAGGCCCATTCTGCATGGGGAGTCAGTTCAGCCTCGCACGATGGGCGTTTTTGATGTTGTGTAGCGCGGGCGCCTTCATGTCTCTGTGAATGTGGCGGCGTGACGACTGGAAGGAGCCCAAGGGATGAGGGGGTGCAGGGGGGGGGGGGGGAGGCGACGTCATTCGCCAGTCAACCAAGGGGGGTGCTTCTCAGAATCAGCTCGAGGTCTTGGCCGCCAAGGGGTTTTTAGAGGAACGCCTCAGGTGCCTCCCCAACCTTCCTGGAACGCTGCCGAGCTTACCCTCCGCATTTTCTTGGTTTTCGGGAGCTCCAGGCAGACGTTGCGATGTGCTTAGCAGGGGGTCCCAAACATCAGGTTCTCTGAGTCCTCTCCCCCTGTTGCCCATCTTAGCCCAGTTCAAGCAAGGCCTTGTGCAGGATTGGGGGCACCTGTTTGTGCTTTGCTCTGGCACGCGCGCCATCGCTTCGCATTGTCGCGACGGGCGTTTCCTCTTCTTGCATCGATGGTGCCTCAAGTGGCGCGCGAGGTGGAAGCCGTTCTCTTTGGGCATCTTGCATTTCCGTCATTCTCGTCCTCGTCGTCGTCGACGTCAGGCTTGGACGTTTGCAGGCCTGCGCGTGGCAAGATCGCGCCCCCGCCGAGGCGGAGGGGGGGGGGGGGGGGGAGGGGGGGGGGGGGGGGGGGGGGGGGGGGGGGGGGGGGGGGGGAGGGGGGGGAGGGGGAGGGAGGGGGAGGGAGGAGTAGGAGGAGGAGGAGGAGGAGGATCAGGAGGACCAGGAGGAGGAGGAGGACGGGGGGGGGAGGGAGGAGGGGGGGGGATGAGGAGGAGAAATATGAGGAGGAGGAGGACGGGTCCGCTTGGATGGGGGATCAGAAGCGATCGAAGAGATCGCATGCCAAATTCCTGCGAGTTTGCGTTCGGAGTGGTTGTCGAAGCTGTCTGGAAGTCCAGGGCCCGAGGTAATTGTGGTAGGGGGGTGCGCGCAATAGCGGCAATAGCGGTGGGGGGATCCAGGAAACCCAGGCACCCGCAATATATTATAAGGCATCCTCGATCGTCAACCAAGTTCTCTTGCATTAACGCATCCTCCCCCTCCTTCTCCTGCTCCTCCGCCGCCCCCCTGCCGCTCCGCATCCGCCTCCTTCTCTACCTCCTCATCCTTTCCCTCGCTTCCCCTCTCCATCTCCCTCTCCCTCTCCCTCTCTCTCTCTCTCTCTCTCTCTCTCTCTCTCTCTCTCTCTCTCTCTCTCTCTCTCTCCTCTCTCTCTCTCTCTCTCTCTCTCTCTCTCTCTCTCATCTCTCTCTCTCTCTCTCTCTCTCTCGTCTCCTCTCTCTCTCTCTCTCTCTCCTCTCTCTCTCTCTCTCTCTCTCCTCTCTCTCTCTCTCTCTCTCTCTCTCTCTCTCTCTCTCTTCTCTCTCTCTCTCTCTGTCCTCCCCCCCCCCTCCCCCCCTCCCCCCCCCCCCCCCCCCCCTCCCATCCACCTCCTCCTCCGACTCCGCCTCCAGGAGGAGGGGGGGGGGGGGGGGGGCTTTTGTTGAGTAGACAGCCCAGGTGACTAGGCCGACGCGCCCGCAGGGATCATCGGCGCCAATGCGTCGGCGGCAGCTGGCTTCGAGAAGGGCGAGAACCTCGAGGCCGCCAAGAAGTGCAACTCCCAGCTCGGGACCAACGACCCCATGGGCAGAGGTGCCGCCTCTACCTCCTCGCCAACAAGGAGGAGAAGGCGAAGTTCGACCAGCTGAGGCAGGGTGAGAAAAAACGGAGCGGGCCAAGTGGCTCGAGAAAAAAGTGGGAAGCCCACGAGATGGCCCGCGATAAGATTACGGGGACGCTCGAGAGCGAGATGGTCGAAGGGGAGATGATGGGCCTTGACCAGCTCATAGTGTCCGAGGGCGGGCGCCAGACCAAGCGAGCGGTGGGGGGCGCGATGAACATCGCGAAGTGGCGCATCCAGAGAGGGCACCCGCACGTGAAGTGCGACCCGCGGTCCAAGCGCCCGATGTTCAAGCAGCTGTCGGAGAACTACAACCGCCGGAGGAGCAAGCGCTGGCGCGACTGGGGGTGGGGGGTGGGGCAGCACGACGGCGGGCCAGCCAGGCAGCGCAGCAGGGGCGTGGCCAGTTGCGCCCCGCCCAGCACTGGCGGTCATCCCGGCGCGGGGGAAGCCGCGAAGGCTGCGCCACCGCAGCCCCCGCCGCCCGAGCAGCCAGGCGACTTTCAGACACCTCCTCGGCGTCCGCGGCCTGGCAAGGTGATTGGCATGCCGACGTCCCCTGGAGCAGCGCCCCCGAAGGTCAAGGCGAAGGCGAAGGGGGGGGGGGGAACCTGGCCAAGGCGAAGGCGTCCGCGGAGGCCGAGGCCAGGGAGAAGGCGGCGCGCGAGGCGAATGCAACGAGTCTCGTGGGCACCTACTCCACCCTGCGCAAGCAGGCCGAGACCGCCGCGAGCACGGGCGAGACTCCGACCTCCACGTGGCACCAGATCAAGCCGCTCATGGGGCCGCTGAAGGGCAAGCGCGACGCGGTCGAGTAGGCGATTAGGAGGGGGGGATTGAGAGAAAAACGAGTTGGATGGGAGTAAAGGGGAAAAGGAGTGGATGAGGACACACGGGGTCTCCGTCACCCTTCACCCCCTACTCCTCAGCCTCCTCCGACTGCTGCTGTTGCTGTTGTTTCTCCCCCTCCTCTTTCAGCTCCTCCTCTTCCTCCTCGCCCCCCTCCTCTTCCTCCTCGCTGTGACCTCTTGTGCCACTCCCCCCCCCCCCTCCGTGCAGCCGCTATCCTCCCTCCTCCTCCTCCTCCTCCTCCCCCTCCTCCTCCCCCCCTCTACATCCCCCCCTTCCCCCGCCCCCCCCCCCCCCCCCCCCCCCCCATCCACCTTTTCCCCCCCCCCTCCCCCTCCTCCCCCCCCCCCCCCTCCGCCCCCCCCCCCCCCCCCCCCCCATCCCCCATTGTTTTCTCGTGAATTGGGCATTGCGTAACCCGCCCAGGCGGCGCTGAGCAACTCGTGGTTCTCGCAGGTCGCGTTCCAGGGCTGGGGCCAGACCAAGAGCGCGCTGGGCGAGTCGCAGCGGGAGCAATGCGTGACAGCCGCGTTCGAGATGGAGCCCTCGATCAATGCCCTGAGCGTCGAGGCGAGCAGGGTGGTCAGCATGCGCGCGCTGGCCCAGGGCTCGAGCATCTAGGATCCGAGGCTCTCTCGGATTTGCGTGTTATGATTTCGGTGTTGATTCTGTTGCAATCCCCCTCGCCTCAATGCGCGTCGCACACGCGGCCGTGCACCAGCGAGCAGTGAAGTGGATCAGTCAGCTGCTGCTCGCTGGGCAACATGTGCATGCAGTGCGTTTTCGGCTCATCTCCTGAGGCGGTCCCTGATCTGAACGAGTTACTGCGTCGTGGCAACCCCCTTCTATCTCCTCGCTGTTGTCCTTCCGCGTTCTCTCGTCATCTACTCCTCCTACGTGGCCCGCCTTGGCCGTCGGTCACCTCGCCTTCCTCCTCTTCTGCGTTGACACTATCCCATTCCGTTCGTTTTTTTCGCCATCATTCTCATCGTCGCCTTCCTCGTCCCCGCCATTTCTCCCTCCCCCCCCTCAGTTTTCTCTGCGTCTCCCTGTTCCTCCTCCCCCCCTTCCCCCTGGCTCCGCACGCCGCCCTGTTCCCCCTCCTCTTCCTCTTTCTCTTTGCCCTTCCAACCCTTGGACAGAGTTGCGAATCCGAGGCCGAACGCTTTCGGGCTGCCACCGAATCGACCCGGGTAGATCCCAGGTAGCCCCCGGGTAGCCCCTCTTTCCGATGTGTGTGTGTGTGTGTGTGTGTGTGTGTGTGTGTGTGTGTGTGTGTGTGTGTGTGTGTGTGTGTGTGTGTGTGTGTGTGTGTGTGTGTGTGTGTGTGTGTGTGTGTGTGTGTGTTTCGTGAAAGGTAGATCCCGGGTAGATCCCGGGTAGCTTCCGGGCGCCCTCTAGGCGGTCCATGTGCAGGCTGCGAGTTCGGCGAAGAGGCAGCGAATGCAGGTCTCCGAGCTCTTGGGGGGGCCTCGTGAGGGTTCCGCGGGCTCCTCGTGGGGGCTCGAAGGGTCCGCTCTCGTCGCGAGGCTCCTTGCGAGGGTGCCGCGGGCCCCTCGCGATGACTCTGGAGGGCTCGAGGCCCCTCGAGGGCCCCGCGGGCCCCTCGCGAGGACATAGGGGTCAGGGGCAGCAGCGCGAGGAGGAGGAGGGGAGATAGTGGGGCAGAGGGCAGAGCGGAAGGACAGGGAGAAACAATTTCGTCGGCGTAGCAGAGGATAAAAAACATAGTTAAGTACAGGGGGGGGGGGGGGGGGGTGAGGAGGAGCTCTGAGCAGAGGGGGGGGGGCGAGGGGGCTGAGGAGATGGAGCGGGATATTATTTCCTCAGTAACACTATTGTCATCAACAGCAACATCATTACATTCAGTCGCCTTTTTTGGCTGCGAGGTCGCTCTGGCCACCCCCATGGCCCCCAGAAGAGGGAACATGCAGCCCTCAGCGTCGCCCCGCCGCTTCGGCAGGGCACCGAAATGGAGGCGCGTCGAT